CCCCCCCAATATCCCCCTTATAACCCTGCCATAACTCCTCCAGAAGTTGCTCAGCAGGTTTGGGCTGTACTCAGCGAGTGCAGTAGAGCCTCAAACTCAGATTTAAAAAATGGTCAGTGGATGGCCCTATAGCGACCACGGGGCAGACCGCCTACCAATTGGCCGTACCGGCTGCTGAACAGTTGGCCTTTGGCTGGAGAACTACCTTGATGTCCTGTATCAATGTATCATACATTGTTATGGTGAAGATTGTATATACCCCTTTCTTCTTTGCTTTGTTTCGTTCTTAATTCAGGTCTGAATAAGCTGATTCACAAGTATTTTATGGAGCTGTTGTCCTATGGTGAAGATAGCATACCCCTTCTTCATTCCCTTGTTTACCCTCTTCATACTGGTCTAGATAGCTTAGACAGGGTTGGTTTCGGCATATGCCGGGCTATAATTTTTGTAACACTCTTCTATTGCTGTTGCGTTTGTTGGTTCATCAGGTATCCATTGGTTGATGGCTCAATACACCTGATGGTTAATGATACTATCATTCGAGACACATGCACCCAGTCGCCCTTACATGATGTTTTCCAAAGTTGTGTTAGCACACAGGATTTTCAACGCGCAGGGGGTTTGTACTTTGGGTCTGTATCGGGCATTCATTGGGGGCTCCCAGGCCTGGTAAGTCCATTGCCGGAACTCAGTCCCTCCGCCTTTCAACCACTGAACAATTCAATGCAATGACCCATATAATTGCAGTCTGAGAATTCTGTACTTTCTGGGAAAAAGCTGTTCTCACTGTCTGATCGCTGAGAATTCCAATTCTGATTCTTTTTGCTGTGTTTTCTGTGTGTGTATTTGACCACCCGATATTGTACCCGTACCATGTGCTTGCCTGCGGAGTTCTGAGTCCAAGTTTGAGTCTGTGTCCTAACTCGGTTGGCTGTGTTGTGTGTCTGTGCTTTGGACGGGCACATAATAGAAAGCGTAGGACCGGGAGGGGGGGGAAGGATAGCGCAGGGACAGAATGAAGGGCGACCAGGGACATCAGAATAGTGCAATGACTTGCTGTTTTCTGGTCGCCTGTAGCCTCTCTCTGTCGAGGCTGTACTATAGGTAGGACAGATTCGTAAATTTTGTTTGGCTGAGGGCTAACCGAGAGACCTGCCTGTGAGGGAAATCGTGAGGGACATATCTGCAAATACTGGAAAATGCAGGCCCGGTACTAACCGACTTCCCTACAGCTACCCTAACTGCAAATAGCAGGCCCGGGCTACCCTAGGACAGACAGGTCCTAAGGGCCTATTCTGATGGACGGTCCTATAGCCTATAGCCGGGTCCGGTAGAGGCCGAGAGGCCGAAACAAATACGGTACTGGTCGGTCAGTCAGTCCGGTCTAGGTCGAGTCTAGGCTAGTTGTAGTCTATAGATAGGATGGGCACATCGGTTCAGGGCTTTTGGCAGTTGGTACCGAGTACATCGCTGCTGCGCTACGCGTGAACCGGAAGTGGTGACGGCTCAGCGTGGAAGGAGACAGGCATAGCCAGACCTTCGGAGCGCCRRCCATAGCTGGGACCTGHGCTGTACTCTGCCAGCAYGCAGGGGCTGACAGAGGTCTGGGCTATCGAGGTCTGCTGGAGGCGAGAGAGGTTGGTGCCCTGCTGGACCCTCCTCCGGAGTGGGGTCCCAGAGGGTTTGCGCTGCAGCCATAGCTGCAGCTTCTTCCTCAGAGGTCATCTTGTCAGGGTTTGGTGGCGCTGCTGCAGACTTCCACCCGGGAAGTCTTCCAACACTTCGTCGTCATCAGATACTGTGGCGCTGGAAGACTTCCCGGGTGGAAGTCTGCAGCAGCACTACCAAACCCTGACAAGATGACCTCTGGAAGCAGCTGCAGCTATGGCTGCAGCGTCACCACCCTGGAACCCCACTCCGGAGGAGGGTCCAGCAGGGCACCAACCTCTCTCGCCTCCAGCAGACCTCGATAGCCGAGACCTCTGTCAGCCCCTGCGTGCTGGCAGAGTACAGCGCAGGTCCCAGCTATGGCCGGCGCTCTGAAGGTCTGGCTATGCCTGTCTCCTTCCATGCTGAGCCGTCACCACTTCCGGTTCACGCGTAGCACAGCAGCGATGTACTCTATGTTACAAATTTGTGCTCCATTATTTGACAATCTGAGTGGTCTTATCAAGTGGCCTCTTTTAGGGGCCCTCATCGTTGTACTTATTCCTAACTCGAAAATACGGTTGATACTAAGTATTGCCTTTTGCACCTCTTTGATCACTTTTTTATACTCTCTGTTGTTTTGGATACAATTTGAGAATTCTACAGCTAAATTTCAATTTGTTGAAACAATATGATGGCTTCCTTACTCAAATATCATTTTTTTTTATAGGTCCAGATGGGATTTCTTTATTCTTTGTGGTGTTGACTACGTTCTTAATACCTATTTGCATGTTAGTAGGTTGGTCTAGTATTCAAAACTACAAGAAAGAGTACATGATAGCTTTTTGGTACCAACTGCCAAAAGCCCTGAACCGATGTGCCCATCCTATCTATAGACTACAACTAGCCTAGACTCGACCTAGACCGGACTGACTGACCGACCAGTACCGTATCTGTTTCGGCCTCTCGGCCTCTACCGGACCCGGCTATAGGCTATAGGACCGTCCATCAGAATAGGCCCTTCGGGCCTGTCTGTCCTAGGGTAGCCCGGGCTTGCTATTCGCAGTTAGGGTAGCTGTGGGGAAGTCGGTTAGTACCGGGCCTGCATTTTCCCGTATTTGCAGATATGTCCCTCATGATTTCCCTCACAGGCAGGTCTCTCGGTTAGCCCTCAGCCAAACAAAATTTACGAATTTGTCCTTCCTATAGTACAGCCTCGACAGAGAGAGGCTACAGGCGACCAAAAAGCAACAAGTCATTGCAGACCTACCCTCCCCCAGAGCAAGGACCTCCGAGCTAGGGGCGTAGGCGTGCAGAGCGCCGAACGGATAACACCTTCTGTGCTGCCTCATATTTGAGGATAACAGACTTAGCCGTCTTCAGAAGTTCCTTGCGAGTAAACCAGCGGTCTTCAGTATGTGGCTGGTACAAGAACTTTACAAGGTACTCCTTACCTACCCCTGTACCTGACTCATCCTCCACAATTTCGACCTCATACCCTTTGCCAGGGATAGTGGGACCGAACCGAGGAGGCCTGTCCGGGAATGCATCAGCTGACGTGAACGGCAACTACTTAGATGCATGAAAGACCGGGTAGGTTTGTAGATGCTGAGGTACATCCACTGTATAGGATGGTCCAAATGGATCGGCTCCCACTGTATCTAAGACCTGCCATGGACCCATGTATCGTGGCAGCAACTTAGGCGATATGTCCTCCTCTCGTGATAGCTCAGAACAGAGTACCCACACCCAGTCACCTGTGCGAATAGTAGAGGGACGGTTGTGCTTATTGGCCTGCTGGATCATTGCCTTTTGGGCCTTCAGCAGGTTAGCACGGGCGTGCTCAATGTCGACACGGTAACGACTGGTGATCTCTGCAGTTCCAGGCGTCAATGTAGGGGTAGCCTTATCGATGATGTCATCGAGAGGTTGCAGTGGCTCATGACCCCAGTGCAACCGGTAGGGTGTGAAGCCTGTAGAGGAGTGTACAGACGTGTTATACACAAGTTGTGTACGACTCAAATGGAGATCCCAATCCTGCTGATCTGGACTGATCACAGGACGCAACAACTGGAAGAGAATCTGGTTCATCACTTCAGCCTGACCATTGGCTTCAGGATGACGACCAGATGTCATATCCAGGTGAGAATGAAGGTAATCCCTGCAGTAGGCTTGCCATTCATTGTTGCAAAACCGGGGATCTCGGTCACTGACAATAGAGGTGGGTGGTCCATGGTGTGTAACCCACCTGTCAGCAAACGCCGCCTGAACGGCTGGCACACGAGCCTCGGCTGGTAAGGGGATGAACTCTGCATATTTGGAGAACAGATCTACACATATCATGACCCGACGCATACCTCGTGGAGTAGTCCTACCCAAGTCAGTAAAATCGATGGATACTGATTGTGCAGGAGCATCAGGGATAGGTAATGGTTTGAGTAGGCCAAGGGGAGGTCGACGTACAACCTTATTCCTTTGGCATAACTCACAGGTTTCCACATAGTGCAGCATGTCACTCCTCATCTCCTTCCAGAAGAAGCGTTGCGACAAGGCTGCATAAGATTTGAGGGCACCAAAGTGACCACGAGGATCATGACACTCTGACATCAGAAGTGTCCTCAACTTGCGGTCCTCGGGAATGCACAGACGCTCCTCGCCTCTGCTACATGTGTACAACAGACCTGAGACCAGCGTATATCCTGGTTCAAAGGCAGGATCGTCCTGGAGATTCCTCACGATAGGCCCAAAGATCTCATCCCGGGGCAGCAAACGGGCAATGGTCGAACGGGTCCTCTCTCCAAATGAGTGAGTGAAGGAGATCAGAAAAAAAGCATCAGGCCTGCGAGAAAGGGCGTCTGCTACTCGATTGTAGCATCCCTTCTTGTGCTTCAGTTCAAAGTCGAACATGTGAAGGAACTGAATGTAGCGAGCAAGTTTGTCATTCAACTCTCAACTCTCCCTGGGACGCCATCCACTGCAAGGTGGAGTGATCTGAAAAGATCTTGAAGTGTCTGCCCAGGAGAAAGTATTTCCAATGCTTGAGCGCTGACACAAGAGCATAAAGTTTTTTCTCATAGGTAGAGTCTTGCAACTTCGTGGTCTTGATCTTCTTGCTCATATACTCGATAGGCTGCAGACCATTCCCATCATCCTGCTGAAGTACCGCCCCTACACCATATTGACTAGCATCAGTAGTAAGCACAAAAGGCAAGGTAGGGTCAGGTAGCTTCAAGACAGGGGCATGAATCAAGGCCTCCTTGAGACGTGTGAAAGCCTCCTGACATTCTGATGTCCAAAGAAAGGAAATGTCTTTCTTTGTAAGATCAATTAAGGGTGCTGCAATCGACGAGAAGTTCTTGATGAACTAGGATGCGAGTCCCAAAAAAGACCGGACATCACGAATGTTAGCAGGTCGCGGCCAGTCCTGAACTGCAGCAACTTTCGTTGCTTCAGGAGCCAACCCCTCTCCAGAAATGATGTGACCCAGATAGACTACAGAGGGAACCCCAAAAGAGGACTTCTCTCTGTTGATCTTGTATTGGTTATCACGTAAGGCCTGGAGGACCAGAGCCAGATGTTGCGTATGCTCCTGGACAGAACGACTGAATACCAAGATATCATCCAGGTAGACAACTATGAACTTGTCCAGATAAGGCCTGAGTATGCGATGCATCTCTGTTTGGAAGGTGCCTGGGGCATTGCAGAGACCGAATGGCATAACCAGGTACTCATATGTGCCATACCTGGTTTTGAAGGCTGTCTTGTGGACATCGCCTTCTGCCATCTCAATCTGGCGATAGCCAGATTTGAGGTCGATCTTGCTAAAGATGGTACAAACCTGCACCATATCCAACAGATCATCAATGCGAGGAAGAGGCTCTGTAGACTTCCTCGTGATTTTGTTGAGACCTCTATAGTCCACGCACATCCTGAACTCACCATTCCCCTTTGGAACAAAGAGGACTGGTGCCCCAAACTCATATGTGATGGGCCTGATCCAGCCCTTGCTGGTCAGGGTCTCC